AAAATATATAGATACACATTATTAAACAAACAAACAAAAGCTGGCACTAAGAAGCCAAAGAAGGGGGCGCCTGGGTAGCTCAGTCGGGTTAAGCGGGTTAAGCATCTGCCTTCAGCTCAGGTCAGGAGCCCAGGGTCCTGGGATAGAGCCCCACATCAGGCTCCCTGCCTCTCCCTCTCCGTCTCCCCACCCCTCACCTCCCTCATGCTCTCGCTCTCTCTCTCAAATAAATAAACAAATAAAATCTAAAAAAAAAAAAAAGGCAGCAGCAGCCAAGGAAGAATCCTGAGCTGACGAATGGCAAGCAGAGATGACAGTTACACAAACCACTCTAACAGCAAAGTGAAGACCAGCCTGGCAGGGTAAGACTAGAGCTGGGGTACAGATAAAGATACTACTGAAAATGTCCCACTTAATGACCTAAATCACGTAGGCAGCCAGTATGTGGACAGTGATGATGAGAGGTAATGGACGAGACATGTTTAGGAAGTAGAATCTCAGACCTCAATGCCTGGGGGGCAAAGCAAAGAGGGAAATCCAGAATGATTCTAGCAGAGAGTGGTAGCAAGTGGTGCCATTCACTCAGACCAGAAATACAAAGCACAGGGACAAACATTCTTGAGCATCTACTACATGCTAGGATCAAGTGAAAGATTGGTTTCTAGTTCCAAAATTCTATGACTGAAAAAGTTTAAATTTAGCCCACCTGTATTAAAATGGGCACAGTTTCTATTAATAGGCTGGTTAAATCAACAAAATAAGTTTAGATTTTTGAAGTTTCTTCATGAAGACACCACTTGGGTATACTAACTATGCATGAGGCCATCACACTGGTCAGGGGATGTTTAAATCAAGGAATTGGTCTCTGCCTTCAAAGAGCTGACAGTCTTTAAAGTTTGAGAAAAATAACTGCATTTCAGTCACTCTGGAAAACTGTGTGGAGGTTCCTCAAAGAGTTAAAAACAGACCTGCCCTATGACCCAGCAATTGCCCTGCTGGGGATTTACCCCAAAGATTCAGATGCAATGAAACGCCGGGACACCTGCACCCCGATGTTTCTAGCAGCCATGTCCACAATAGCCAAACTGTGGAAGGAGCCTCGGTGTCCATCGAAAGATGAATGGATAAAGAAGATGTGGTCTATGTATACAATGGAATATTCCTCAGCCATTAGAAATGACAAATACCCACCATTTGCTTCAACGTGGATGGAACTGGAGTATTATGCTGAGTGAAGTAAGTCAATCGGAGAAAGACAAACAGTGTATGTTCTCATTCATTTGGGAAATATGAATAATAGTGAAAGGGAATATAAGGGAAGGGAGAAGAAATGTGTGGGAAATATCAGAAAGGGACACAGAACATGAAGACTCCTAACTCTGGGAAACGAACTAGGGGTGGTGGAAGGGGAGGAGGGCGGGGGGTGGGGGTGAATGGGTGACGGGCACTGAGGGGGACACTTGACAGGATGAGCACTGGGTGTTATTCTGTATGTTGGTAAATTGAACACCAATAAAAATTAATTTATCAAAAAAAAAATAACTGCATTTCAACAAATGAGCAACTGACGCCCAGTGGGGTTATGATCTGACCATTTATAAGACCTGTAACCCACACTTCTGGAGCACAGACTTCATAACCTACATTACATTTCCAGGCCAATAATGCATTTGATGGGGTATGTATTTAAATAGACCCAATCCTGCTTTGAGCCTGGAAGATACTGCAGAACTTAAAACATCACAGCACATGGCCTGTGACTGACTTTGAAGTAATTACTGAGTGCTACACCGCAGCACTTTGGAAGGAACCATAAAACAAGTAAGGAGAGAGAAAGATGCCTGATTTGTCATGGAAGAGGCTACCTGAGCAGAAGCCAAATGCTGGAGGTGCCAAAGCAGAGTCTCAGGAGGCTCTGGAAGCAGCAGAGAAATAAACGTTCAGGAAAGGTGCAGCAGGGATCCTCTTTAGACAGGCTCCTCCCCTGCCACCAGCAAGAAATGGCTTCCCATGGGATATAAGGCCTCAACCCAAAGCAGACTTACAGAAAAAGGTATGAAGAAACCATCCAGTGTGAATAATCTAGCTCCAGATCATCCAGAGCAGCCAATATATGAAAAGAGCTCTTGTGAGGCTATTAAGTCTGAGAAATTTTACACTAGCTCTTTGCAAACAAAAACAAGATACCAAAACACTTCCCTCTCCATGCCCAGAGCTCTTGCCACTCCTCTCTCTTCCTGTTCATATTCTTTAAAAAAAGAACAGCTGCACTGTCTTTACCTCCTCAACTCCCTTTCACCCACTTGGATCTAAGTTCTTCCTCCACTACTTAACCTTGTCTTCTCATCTTCCCTGAACTCTCTGAGCACTTTCCCCTTCTCTCTGCCTGGGAACCCTACCTGTATTAAGACCAGTCCATTGTCACCTCCTCCGTGAAGCATTTGCAAGTCAGATTGCTCCTTGCCACCATCTTTGTACTTCTGTGGGGTTTTGCCTATGCCTTACCAAAGCATTCACTGGATCCTATCATCACTGCTTACTTCAGTGCCCCAATAGCCTGTGAGCTCCTAAAGGCAGTAATTGGTTTTTATTCATTTTTCTATTGCTACTCTTGAATCCAGGGTCCCAAAAATGGACACACAAAGGTACCATGAATAAATGATAACAGGCTAAGTTTATCTTCAAAACTGCTAGAATCTACTCAAGTAACTTCACTGACATTGCTCTAAGAATTTACCTGCACACACATACACTGAGAAGTACCTAAATTATGAATAATAGTTTTATTGGCTAACAATTCTATCTTCTGATTGTTAAGCAAACAGCGTGCCTGCCGTTAAAAGAGATCTTTAGAGTACCTCATCTATGTTTTTAAAATTCTGGCTGTGTAGAAAGTTCACTTGTGCTCTTTTATTCCTGGGCCCAGTGTGGGAAGACATCACAGGGAAGACACCACACCTTCTTTATACCAGTACTTAGAACGATGGCTGCTCAATTATCTCCAAAAATAAATAACTTTTTTCCATTTAGTTTCACTTTCTATATGACAGAAACACCCATGGTAAGGTTTAGATGAACATTATTTCCTGTGGCCAGTAAAAATGTCATGAGAGCCCTTCAACTTCAATAAAGACATATAAAAGCCTTCATTATGGGATTATGGGGATTAAATTTGAACATAAAGTCCCAATTTATATTTCTGTTCTAGAAAAATAAAAATTAGGATAACTTCTGAGTTCTTATATGTTTACTGCAGCAATACTGAAAACTTTAAGTAGTAAAATATTAATGGGGCGAGAGCCATTTCTGTGCATAAAACAAAAACTGATTGTGCAGATTTAAAAACCAGAAAGGTCACACTCAAAATTCCCTGCCTGGAAAAATCTTGAAGATGTAAGAAAAGTTAGCCCTGGGCACTTAATTTTTCAGCTACTACACTGCTTCCATATGCGCCCTTGGGAATGTCATGTAATTTCTCTCATTTCTAGTTCTGTAAAATGGGAATGTCATCTGTTTTCCTAGTAGGGACAATAAGACAGTTGGAGAAAAGAATCAATACGTATTTTTTTTTTTTAAGGAAACTTGTCTAACTCGTATGCTTAAATCACCACTTGTACAGTACATTCTTCCTCAGGAATCCAATTCCAAAAGAAATAATTAAGCAGACATAGAAGACAGATTTCCTTAGGGGAATGATTTTATAAATACGGAAAGTCTTGTAATTATAAATTTAAAAACTGATTACATAAAACTTGACAGCTCCTAGCTTTAAAGTACACCAATAAACATACTGATAAATTAGGTTGAGACATAGTGTCCCAACCCTGAACAAGGAACCCGAACTGAGGCAACTGATAGTTGACAGAAATTTGGTGAAGATTCAGCAGGACACTCAACATTCGCAGTCCCATCACTGGTAAACCATGCTTCCCCTTCAAAACTGATAAAATGTGAAACGCAGTAAATCAGCTTTATCACCCATCCCTAAGGCTTTGAGAATGCACTCAATCTTTAAAGACATAAAAAAGTTAACCTGACAGTTTGAAAGGTCCTCTATCCTCAGACCTCTATAGATGTGGGAATCCTCCTGCCAAATTCTCCCAAATACTGCTGAGATGGAACCGATCCTCCCCAGAAGCTGCGGCTCCTCCTATCCGATTCAAGGGTCAGAACAGCACAGCTCCAGGACCCCCCCACGCCCCCCCAGGATGAGGCTGTCACTTTCCTAGATCCCAAGTCCAAGTTAACGACAGGCTTTTTTGCAAAATGGCTCAGAAAGCAATCAACAGGCGATGACTATGTAAAAGAACGGAGGTCTCCGGATGTGAAGGGAGAAAACAACAACAAAACGGCCGGTCTCCCCGGGGACGGCAGGCAGCGCTCCTCCTTCCCGGCCCCGTGCCCTTTCTCCACAGACAATCTCCCATTCTCTTGTGAGGCTGCGGTTTCTCCGAGAGAGCCTGGCTGCGGCCGGATCTCCAGGTTGCTCTGGAGAAGGAAACACATCCCGGCACACACCCCACGAGGGCACCGGGCGCGGGGAGCCGCGGGGAGCCCGGCCGGGCGCGGGGCCCGCTCGGGGCGGGGCGCGGCGGGGCGCGGGGCGCGGGCGCCTCCCGAGGTGCCGCAATCCGGCCGCGGCCGCAAGGGCAGGGCCTCCGGGAGCCCGCCGGCCGCCGCAGTGCCAGTGCCAGTGCCGGCCCCGCGCCCCGCCGCCGCCCCGCGCCCCGCCGCCCCGCCGCCCCGCCGCCGCCCCGCCGCCAGGCCGCACGCCGCCGCCGCCCGAGCCCGCGTCCTCCGGGCCCAGGGCGCCGCGGCCGGCACAGGCAGCGGGGCGCGGGGAGCGCGGAGCGGCGAGCGCGCAACTTACTTTCCGCCCGCGGCGGGCGCCCTGGCCCGCACTCCCAGCCCCGCAACGCCGCAGGCTACCCGGCGGCGGAGGCCGGCCCGCACCCGGCCCGCGGCCGCCGCGCCCCGCCGCGCTCCGCGCTCGCCCCTACCTCCGCCAGCAGGCGGGCGTCCGTCCGCAGCAGCCGCGGCGCCGACGACTCCCTCCCGGCCGCCGAATCCCCGCACCCAGCGCTAATCATAATACCGAACGGGCGGCCGGCCGCGGGCGGGGGGGGGGGGGCGGGGGCGAGGTGCGCCTGCGCGGGGCTCGCGTCACTGTGACGCAGAGCGGGGCGGGCCCGCGGGGGGAGGGCGGGGTCGGGAGCACCTGCGGGCGCGGGCGCGGGCGCGGGCTGCGGGAGGGCCTTGTGGCGGCGTCGGGACAGGGGGGGCCCGCGGCTGTGGGCTGGCGGCGGGAAGCGGGCGAGGCGCCCGAGGAAGGAGGAAGCGCAAGGGATACGGGGGGCAGTGGCCGAGAAGAGCGGCGCGAGCCCCCGGGGTAATCGGAGCGCTGGGACTGCGTGCGCACCTGACCGCGTCCGGGGGCTGGTCGTGAGGGCAGCACGCGCTTTGCCCTTTTGGGTGCCCCGCATCTCCCGCCAAGTTTAAGCAAGGAGAGGGAAAAGATCAAATATACCTTCGTGTATACATATATGAATATATGCATATGCTCTTTTTCTCTACAGTTTTATTCCTTGGGAACCCAATTTGAAGGAATTTTATTGATTTCGTTGCTATTTAAACAAAAGGAGAAAAGCCCACCATCTGAATGCGGCGCTGGCCTTAAAGGTCAACGGGAGACACTAGCCCGGCCCCATCAGCGGCCTGTCCTGGAAACCACCTGGAAAGGCAAAAAGGTCATGGAAAGTGTTAAAACAGACGAAGTCCAGGATTCAAACAGCAGACGTTAATCGTGGTTTAACTAGAGAGTTCAGCGGCATGGTCACTAGGCCAAGTGGCTCAGGAGGGGAGCTCAGCCGAGGCCAGAGAGGGGTGCTGGGCTCCTGACTCCCACCCTCGAAAGCTTGTCTTTCAATAGGTGGAAGATAGGCTCTCCGAGGCTTCCTAAAAGGGAGAGCCAACAAGCCAGATGCCGGGTTTCTCCGACCTGCTTTTCCCTTTCTGTTTCTCCTTTCTTTCCACCCTTCTAATAAAAAATGCCTAGTGAAGAAGGACACAAGAAAAAAATAAATATACAAATAAAAGCTGCTCAGATGCTCCAAATTTGATTAAGTTGACTAGGTGCAGAAGAGAAATCTAGATGGCTTTAGCAAGTGTGTCTTTGCTGACCTGCAAATGTCAGGGTTTTTGTTTTTGTTTTTGTTTTTTTTCAGACCGTCTCCACAGCATCAATTTTGCATGTCTGAAGATGATTGAAAAGTAAGTGGATTGTGGGGAGATGCAAGCCCTTAAGGTGAGAACAAGGTTTTCTATTAAAGGGGGACTCCCACTCAGCCTAACGCTCTAGGATGGGGTGATGGATCATTGGCTGGGAAAAGCCTGGGACTCTAGGCCTCAGGCTAGGCCTCTGTCCCTTAAGGATGAGTCAAAGCCCCAACTCTGGGATCACTCTGATTGAGAAAGACCATAAAGGAAAAATCTCACTTTGACACTGACATTCTAACTCTAGGCATATGTTACGCAGTAGCTCTTTTGTAGAATTCAGTCAGTCCTTCACTACTGGAAACTTGGAAGGCCATGCACTTTTCCCCTCAGGGAGATATCACTATTTAGGGAACCCTGTAAAAGAAAAACAAACAAACAAAAAAAGACCCACTCTAATGGTCTCCCAAGGGAATCCAGTGGTTGACGACCTCTGCCACCAGACTTATAGCCCTGAGAGTAACAGTAACCACAAAGCAATGGCCATAATAAATAAGCCCTTGGAAAGCAGTATTTATATTGTTGCTGTGTGTGACTCAGGTTTCAACTAAAGTCTATAAGGTAACAAACACATAAGAATAGCAAAACAATAAATGAAAAGGAACAGAATAATAGATTGATTCAAATAAAGTCAGGGATACAGCCGGATAGTAAATCATTCATTCATCCCCAGTGTTTCTTGGGAAGCTATGGTGCTGCTGGCAAGAACATGACCCATTTTCAGTTCCACACCATAGATGTAGTAACATGATCTTATTATGCTTAGGCAATATTTAAGAATATTCAAGTGCAAATTAATATATTATTACTTTGAATATAAGCAAATATGTTTATTGTTAATGAAGAAACCCCTCCTCCAATCTGCCTGGAGGCTTTCTCCAACACAGGCTGCTTTTTTTAATGTTAGGTCTTTTTATGGACCCGTAAGAAGCTTTAATTAGATATACAGCACTCTACAAAACGACAAGATGGAGCATGCAGGTTTGTATTACAGTTTCTGTGATTCAAATCTCAAATATAACATAATGCCACCAATTTAAGGAAGAAGTTGTTTATCAGAAGGCAACCAGGGCAATGCTACAAATTAGATCAAGATCTGTGAAAAGCAAACAGATTCTTGAAAGAATTGCAATTTTCATCTTGGGACACCCCCCCATCACCACACACACACACACACACACACACACACACATACACACAAGCATCATATTATCTTCTCTAGATATTGTTAGTTTTCATAATTTGAAAAAATTAAACTATATTTAAAACAATAGGTATTGAGTAATGTACAGTTCAATTTTGAGTTATAACATGTATTTAAGGATTTTGCTTTACATATTTAATTAGTTATTTTGTACATTGATAGTTGTGCATTTCTAAATCCTGGCTTCATCCCAGTAGGACCAAAAAATAATGATACTTCATTGGAAAGGCCTACAGAGTTCCTCAAAGACTTTCTCATACTACCCCATTGGCATCAGTTAGCATGTTTCTCTTATCTCAGATATCAGTGAAGGCCACCGTGTGTGTGTGTGTGTGTGTGTGTGTGTGTGTAATGTATTTTTGATAGTTGCAAACAAAGATTGAAAATGCCAGCCCTTAACTCTGTTCATTTGCAACATGTGAGCTAACAGACATGACAGTCATTGCCTGGCATCAAATCCCAGCCCCATCACTTAATTCTCTGTGGCTTTGGGCAGGTTCCTTAACCTTCTGTTTGTTTTCTTCTCTGTAACATGAGGATGGTTGTGATAATGATATCTTTCTTATAAAGATGATATAAAGAAATGGTTCTCAAAGTGTGCTCTCTTGACCAACAATATCAGCTTCTTCTGGGAACTGAATCAAAATTCAGATTCTCAGTCTCCATTCCAGATGTACTAAATCGAAAACTGTAGTTTCTGTTTCAAGAACACTTTCAGGTGATTCTGATGCAAGTTAGAGTTTGAGAACCACTGTTGATGGGATTAAGTGAGTTTATTTTAAGTATTAAAACAGTGCCTGGTACACAGTAAGAGGTATATTAATGGATATGTTTAAATGAATACAATATGATGTTGCCAAGATTTGCAAAGTTTAATTCAGGCCAAAAGAAGCATGTGCATGGCCTTTCCGCGCTACCCAGGGAAGGGTCCATACGGCGTTGTTTTGCGTTTCCATCGTAACTTAAAGGGAAACTTTAACAATGTCCGGAGCCCTTGATGTTCTGCAAATGAAGGAGTAGGATGTCCTCAAATTCCTTGCAGCAGGAACCCACTTAGGTGGCACCAACCTTGACTTCCAAATGGAACAGTACATCTACAAAAGGAAGAGTGATGGTATCTACATCATAAATCTGAAGAGAACCTGGGAGAAGCTTCTTTTGGCAGCTCGTGCCATTGTTGCCATTGAAAACCCAGCTGATGTCAGTGTTATATCATCTAGGAATACTGGCCAGCGAGCTGTGCTGAAATTTGCTGCTACTACTGGAGCCACTCCTATTGCTGGCCGCTTCACTCCTGGAACCTTCACTAACCAGATCCAGGCAGCCTTCCAAGAGCCAAGGCTTCTGGTGGTTACTGATCCCAGGGCTGACCACCAGCCTCTCACAGAGGCATCTTACGTTAACCTGCCTACCATTGCTCTGTGTAACACAGACTCTCCTCTGCGCTACGTGGACATTGCCATCCCTTGCAACAACAAGGGAGCTCACTCAGTGGGTCTGATGTGGTGGATGCTAGCCCGGGAAGTCCTGCGCATGCGTGGCACCATTTCCCGTGAGCACCCATGGGAAGTCATGCCTGATCTCTACTTCTACAGAGATCCTGAAGAGATTGAAAAGGAAGAACAGGCCGCTGCTGAAAAGGCTGTAACTAAGGAGGAATTTCAGGGTGAATGGACGGCTCCAGCTCCTGAGTTCACTGCTACTCAGCCTGAAGTTGCAGACTGGTCTGAAGGCGTGCAGGTGCCCTCTGTGCCTATTCAGCAGTTCCCTACTGAAGACTGGAGCGCTCAGCCAGCCACTGAAGATGGTCTGCAGCTCCCACTGCTCAGGCCACTGAATGGGGAGGAACAACCACTGAGTGGTCTTAAGCTGCTCTTCCACAGAAGGAACAGAATGGAAATAAGGTTGACGGAAAATAAACAGTTTCTAAAAGTCTTGTCCAAAAAAAAAAAAAAAAGAAAGAAAAGAAAAGAAGAAGAAGAAGCATGTGCATGTTCTCCAACAAGTAAATCCCGTCTTAATCCCATGTCCAAAACTTTAACATGGCCTGCCAAACCATTCCTGATACACCCCATCGCCCCTTTTTGCTCTTTCCATTCTCCGTGTGTGCCACATCTCCAACCTCCCCAGTTCTCAAAGGGAACTGCTTTTTCACACCTTTAAGACTTTGCCGATTCTATTCCCTCTGCCTGGAAATGTCTCCCACCCCTTTTCTCCACTTCCCACACTTGCAATCTCCTGAATTCCTGCTTATGCTTCAAAACCTAACTGCAGTGTCCAACCTCGTCTGTGGTACCCCAACCCAAACCCAGTCAGAGTCAAGGACTCTCTGGACCCATACCTCTCTGCACATACCACTTAGAGCATTTATCATTAGGTGTTATAATTGTTTACTTCCCATTCTCTGCCTTTGGATCTTTAACTCCTGGAAAACAAGGATTTTATTTCATTTAAAATTCTATTCATGCCACTGGGCTCTGATGTTTTAAGAGAGCAGCCCAAGGGTTTACACCACAGACTTGGGGTATTTTTCCCCCCACAAAGGTCTTTTAAGAATTTTAATTAGTTGTGAACATTTTAAAATTGGGAGATTTAATTTTTATGTTTAACCTCTTTATTGAGGTCTAATATATGTATTGTAAGG